GCGTATGTTATGGATTATAGTCTGCTTATGTTGAAAGATTTCCTCAGATTTGATTCTGATTAGGACTGATGCTCAGCTGATACAAAAATTCTAAACAACTTTTTAAATTATGCAAGAGTGCAAGGAATACACTTTTTTTTTTTACTGCAAGAAAAGGTGCATGTGGCTTTGGTGGGTCAGAATGGTGTATTTTATTTAAAAGATAGCCCTGTTTTTAGGGATAGATGCTACTCTCCCACCACCCCTGCTCCTTCTTTCTCCCTTCCTGGCAAATAGAATCTTTGTTCCTCTGGTCCCTCTGGTACTACTTACCATATGATGTACGCCACTCCATCATCTGCACTTCTTTCTCTATATCTCCCTTTCTGAAATAGGGGCAAAGCCAGCTCTACCATAACCAGAATCAGGGACTCTTATCCCAGCAACAAGGACAGTCGAAGGATATGCCACCTCGGTTTTCTAAGAAAGGACAGCTTAATGCAGATGAGGTACATTACATGCCTACATTACTTAAAGCCTATTCTAAATATTGCCCAATGATTATAGCAAGACGCGTTATTACGAGGACTAATGCTGGAACTCTTTCTCCTTCTCCTCCTCCTCCTTCTTTGTCCCTTCCTTTTTCACCTTATCCCTCACTTTCCTTAGGGTATCCAGCGTCCTATGAGCAAGACTGAGATATGAGGGCAATTTTTTTGGGGTGTCCCTTCCTTCCCCCACACTTCCCCAAGAACACTACTCTGACATCAGTTCCCATGCATCATTGATAACAATACATTTAATTAAAACCTTAGAAAAGTCTGAACTTGAGACACTTATGAAGAAACTCTGAAGTGCTGGACCAGGCTAATTTTTTTTTTTTAATAGAACTGGCTGATAGGCAAAACGTCATGTGCAAAGTAAACTGCACTACTTATTTTGAGTGTTAACCAGACTTGTATCCCAGTTTCTGAGCAGTTGGTGGAGTTTTATCTTGATTGTAAAATACATCAGTAAACATGCTATGCATAATCTTGGGTCTCTAACATACTGCATCTTAAAGGAGCAATTCCAGATCTTGATATCAGTGGAACTAAATAACCAGTAACTTGCAGCAAGTTGTGATTCAGCAAGTTGTGATTCAGCAAGTTGTGATTCATCAAGTTGTGCTTTTGGGGGAATTTCAGTACAGGTGGCTTAATCTGTATTTGAGTGTAAACACTGTAGAAATGGCTAAGTCATGTTTGAGTGGGATCAGTTGGTGTGAGTCCGTGGCTGTGTATTCTTGGGTCAGAATACTTGAAACAGTTTGAGTTTTTTTTGACTTACCTGTTTACAGATTAGCCTGAGACCTGCTCAGTCTTTTCTAATGAATAAAAACCAAGTGCCAAAGCTTCAGCCCCAGATAACTATGATTCCTCCCAGTGCTCAACCACCACGCACTCAGACACCGCCTTTGGGACAGGTAAATATAAAAATTACTGGATGTTGTTGGCTGTCCTTAATTTCTTCACTCATGTAAAACTGAGACCAGTTTCTTATATGGGAAGGGAGAGAACTCTTTGCACAGAGCAATCTGATGTGGATCTGCCTTTGTACATATTTAGTGTTCTTAAACTTGATACAAATATAGGTAGATATGCTACAAAGAAACAAACTCAGGTATCTTTTTCAGCCTCCTCAACTTGGTCTTAAAACAAATCCACCACTTATACAAGAAAAGCCTGCGAAGACCACCAAGAAACCACCTCCTTCTAAAGAAGAGCTACTTAAACAAACTGTAAGTTAAGTATGTAATAGTGCTTTCTTGAAGCCTTGTATATGCTCTTTAAAAACGAATGTTTATGTACTTTTTTTTTCTCTAGGAAGCTGTTGTGACTGAGTATCTGAACAATGGAAATGCTAATGACGCTGTCAATACTGTGAGAGAAATGAGAGCTCCAAAACACTTCATTCCTGAGATGTTGAGCAAAGTAATCCTTCAATCCCTAGATAGATCAGATGAAGACAAAGAGAAAGCAAGTACTTTGATCAGCTTGCTCAAGCAGGAGGGAATAGCCACAAGTGACAACTTCATGCAGGTACTGCAATTTGGCAGGCTCACAGTCCTTGTTGATTTGTTGGTAATGGTGTTTAGCATGCATAAGGGCAGTGTGCAGATTTTTCTAAATCCTGTTGGTCTGAGGAGGTAATAATCATAATACATAAACCTGTGAGGGGTGTAAAAGGTCATGAAAGGAAGAAATGTAGGTAGAGGATTTTAGAAACGAAATGGTGATCCTCTTGACAAGTGATCGAATGCAGAGAAAAACGTGGGGATCCTGTGTAGTAAGAGTATTACTGTAAACAAGCAGAAAATTACTGCAGGATTTCAACTTGTGTGTGTTTACTGTTTCTTAGGCATTCCTGAATGTATTGGACCAGTGTCCCAAACTGGAGGTGGACATCCCATTGGTGAAGTCCTACTTAGCACAGTTTGCAGCCCGTGCCATTATTTCAGAACTGGTGAGCATTTCCGAACTGGCTCAACCACTGGAAAGTGGCACCCATTTCCCTCTCTTCCTGCTTTGCCTTCAGCAGTTAGCTAAGTTACAAGACCGTGAATGGCTAACAGAATTGTTCCAGCAAAGCAAAGTGAATATGCAGAAAATGTTACCAGGTAAGAGTTACCACATAGCTCTTATCACACCTCATATTAGTGTATGCAAGATGTTTTTGCCTCATTTTTTACACCAGAGTGAAATAACATAGAAGGTTACTTCAATGCAGTCAATTGTCACGATTAAGAATGGCGTTTCTTAAGAGGTGGATAGACCTGGGAACCACTGATCATAGCTTCTAATTAGCACTAGCACTTAAGTGTGTCTTTCTTATTTACTTGTCAGAAATTGACCAGAACAAGGACCGCATGCTGGAGATCTTAGAAGGGAAGGGACTTAGCTTCTTGTTCCCGCTTCTGAAACTGGAGAAGGAACTGCTAAAGCAAATAAAATCGGATCCATCCCCTCAAGCCATCTATAAGTGGATTAAAGATAACATTTCACCCAAACTTCATGTAGATAAGGGATTTGTGAATATATTGATGACCAGGTGAGATGCTATCTTGATACAGTTTAGGCATGTGTGTTGTTAAGCTACCAAGAAGTCACTTAACTCTGTGAAGGCTGACGTGTAACTGTGCAGAAAAACAGAAAAATACCTAGAGGGGTAAATACTCTGAGTGAACCTCCCCTGTATTAAACACCTGTTGTATTTGAGAAAAAAAAGCCTTGGTGCGAACTGCTGCTTCTGCCTGGGAAGGAGAGATCCAGACCTGTGTCTTTTTCAAAAATGTTTCAGAGCCGTAAGAAAAGCAAAACGAGGATTTTTGTGGTGCAGTCAACCACAACACTGATCCGCTGTGCGTGAACCTAACTGCTGATACAAGCAGGAGGGTATTTTTAGTAATAGCTAGCAAACTAAACTTGCGGGTACATGTCTTACTGCTTTAGAACATGAAATCTAGCTGTTCTATCTCAGTTTACAGAACTTACCTTTTTTTTTTCTTTAGTTTCTTGCAGTATATTTCTAGTGAAGTAAACCCACCTAGTGACGAATCGGATTCTTCAGCTGCTCCATCTAAAGAGCAGCTAGAGCAGGAAAAACAACTGCTGCTGTCCTTCAAGCCGGTAATGCAGAAGTTCCTCCATGACCATGTTGATCTGCAAGTGAGTGCTTTATATGCACTCCAGGTGCACTGCTACAACAATAACTTTCCAAAAGGTACGTGCACCAAGTTCTTAATGAAAATTTGATCTGTGTCTGCTTGCTTGTGCCTGTGTATCGCTTTCAGGCTTGTCACTGCATTTCTTACAGTGAAGCCAGCTGTTCAGACGGTTATAAAGCTAACAAAGTTTAAATTGACTTCTGCAGGCATGTTACTGCGCTTCTTTGTTCATTTCTATGACATGGAGATCATTGAAGAAGAAGCCTTCTTGGCATGGAAAGAAGATATTACTCAAGAGTTTCCAGGGAAAGGCAAGGCTTTATTCCAGGTAAATTGGACAACATTAGAGTAGAGATTTGTCTTCTGTGATCTCTGCTGCACTGGAGTGTTTGAGGACATTTCCAAACTGTTTGGGTTGTTAATATCTAGAAACTTCGTTGACTATTTCACTGTGAAGGAGTGAGACAAGATGAAGTAAACCTTTATTTACTAGAGACCTATGTTTAATCCAAAGTGTCGCTGAAAAATTTTTAGAACTCGTTGGGGGGAAAAAAGCAGTGTTCTGCAGAAGCACATAGTGGGGAAATAATTCCTGTTCTCTTAAACCAATTTTATGTAACTGCAGGTAAACCAGTGGCTAACCTGGCTGGAAACTGCTGAAGAAGAAGAATCTGAAGAAGAAGCTGACTAAAGAACCAGCCAAAGCCTTAAATTGTGCAAACATACTGTTGCTATGATGTAACTGCATTTGACCTAACCACTGCGAAAATTCATTCCGCTGTAATGTTTCACAATATTTAAAGCAGAAGTATGTCAATAGGATATCCTCTGCAAAAGGTTTTTGTAGTATGTCTTAATAGTCTACAATAAAAATATTTTAGAGTATCTTTAATGTTTAGATAACAGTGTATTAGCAGCATGCAATAATTACATCATTAAGTTCTCGAGCAGAAGCAGTCTGTTGCAAGGGTCTTCTTTGCTGCCAGTTACCATAGGCTGTTTTTAAGTTAGAAAACTGAATAGCAACACTGAATACTGTAGAAATGCACTTTGCTCAGTGTAATACTTGAGTTGTTGCAATATTTGATTATCCATTTGGTTGTTACAGAGAATCCTTAACTGTAATCGATGGTTGTTGCCGTAATAGTATATTGCCTGTATTTCTACCTCTAGTAATGGGCTTTATGTGCTAGGTTTTAATATCCTTGAGCCTGGGCAAGTGCACAAGTCTTTTTAAAAGAAACAGTTTACTTGCACAAAAACTGATCAGCTGAAGAGATGGTTTAATGCCCTTTGGAGAAGAGGTGTTTGTGGGTGTGAAACATGACATGGTGAGAAATTTGAATTGGTCCCTCTATAATAGTACTGAAATTAAGTCTACTTAATTTATCAAGACATGTTCATGCCCTGATTTTATATACTTGTATCTATCAATAAACATTGTGATACTTGACTTGTTTCTGAATGTCTCCCAGTAGAAGAGCTTTAACTGATAACTGGTTTACTTACGGAAGGAAACAGCAGTGGGAGTTGACTTAGACTGGGACCATCCTAAAATTCTTTTAATAATAACTGTCTTAACATGCAAATGAATTCTAAATAAGGTCACAGACAAGATTAGACACTACAAATTTGCTGTGACAGGAGGAAAATTAAATTCTGCTGAAGAAATGGTAACAGTTTGCCTTGTGGCCCAATGTATGCTTTATCAGTGAGTATGTGCTTTTTAACTTCCTAATGCTTTGAGCTTTCCCCAGGTCATACGCGTGTCTCTTGAGCAGCACTGATTATTAGCTGCCTGTTTCTCAAATCAAATTGGCAAGAAAACCCCTCGTGATGTTGCTTTGTACAGGCTTGAAATGTCATCTATTAAATATTCAAAATACCTGACTTCCCAGAACCTTGTCCCTAGTGAAATTTTTTTTCCTTGTACTGAGACTTCAACTGTTGCAAGGTGATGTATTTGTAATGGCAAAACAGTAGTGTCTCCTTGACTGAAAGTTGGATTTGCCAGTGGTGGTAGTGCTTTAGCTTAAATACCGTCTTATGTATTGTGGGAAATGAGAAAGTGGAGCATGAGGAAACTACTAGAGATTGTAAAAGGGCTTCCTTTGAGGGGAAGGATAGTTTGCATTTATGTACCTTAAAGTGGTGTGACTAGAGTGGGTCTGGTTCTCTCCTTGGGCCATTTGCTGGGAGGGGCAGGCTTCCTGACCTGCAGTTACAGATAGTGGCCTCTCGTATGCTCCTAAGTTAGATCCCATCAGTGAGCTGAGCTGCTCCAGGTGCCTCAGTAACTTGCTGTACAACGTGTAGCCCAGTAAATCAAGGTATGATGCTTCTGTAAAAGGGATGACAATCATAAAGGGTATTTGACTTTTTAAATTACTAAAAAAAATTCCATGATCCTTAAATGCTGTTTCTGTGTTTCAGAAATGTGCCATAGCCAGCAGTTAACAGCAGAACAGGGTGTTTCTGTGGACTCCAATTTAGAGATAAAGCAGAGCACTAGCTACACTTACAATCTTGAGGTCAGGAGCTGGCTGCTTTTTGATGTAGCTGCAACTCCTGTGTAACAGTGTCAAGCAGGATGTAGGGCATCCAGAAAAGTTCCTAATGGTATGTTGTGCTTCCCAGTCATGACACAGTAATCTTCGAGTTGTGAAAGCATTTCCTGTTTGTGGAATAATAGAGCTGATGCTAGATCTGCAGGGCTTGCTTGCCCCTTCACGGCTACTCTTGGGTAAAGATGCTTCTCAAGTGGATGTCCTTTTATTAAGGTTCTGCAGTTAAATACCCTTTATTGAGATAAAGGGACACAAGTACAGTTTTGAGGTTCACTTAATTCCAAATTCTGCTGTTTCAGAATTGCAATTTTGCGTGTAGCAAGATGCAGTGTAGTGAAATATAGCATTGTTTCAATAACAGGCTTGTGTTTCTGTAAATTTGGTCTGTCATTTGTGTTTAAACTCTGCTGTTACAGCTGATGCTGATGAGTTCAGTGGTGCATGCCTCTAATACTAGTTCTTGTGTACTTCAGTTATAGGTTACTAGATAAACTGCATTTCATTCCCAAGTGCTGCAAAACTGGATGGAGAGGAACCACGAGTCAGGAAAGAACAGTCCTAACCAGTAGTTTCCAACTAAATTTACTGTACAGGTGAGAGAAAAGGGCAACAGTAGAAGGTGCAAGTAAAACAACTCTGAGTCAGAAGTTCAGGAGGATAGAACCAGAACCTGCAACCCACTCTTTTTTTGCCAAAGTTTTGGAGAAGGTTAAGCTGGCAGCTGTAGATGGTTTGAATAGCAAAACTAAACTAAGCCTTGTATTCTTGCCCAGTCTAAAGTGTAATTGCTATGACTTTACGTACTTGTGCATGAAGGCTTTGCTGCTTGGCTTGTTTGTAACTAGCCACTGAGTTAGGAATTCTGATAAAGTAAAACTCCTTTAAGAACCATGACCAAAAATCTGAATAGAACAGATGCAGTAGAAAATAACACTAGACTGTGGAATAGGTGTCTGTCATGAGACACTTGAAAAATTTACATATAGTTGGTGTGAACAGATCTGATCTCTTGAAACTGGTATAAAATTGGTCTAATTTTTGTGGCTTTTGAGTTGCATTGTACTTGAAATGTAAATAGAGCGTACTCCATCTTAAATAGTAAAGTCAGTCCAAATTAAACCAATGGCACTGATCAATGATAATGGCTTTCACTAGTATTAATTTTGTTAAGTGTTAGCTGTAACGTAACTGCACTCGTAGGAGGACTAGAGAAAAAATTGCACACACACCACCTTTTGTACCTATTGTGTTCTGAAATGATGAACTAAGTTGTGGTTACCATTCAGGACATGTCACTGCCACCTGTTAGCATTGCCTGGTGTACTTGGCAGCAAAGTGCTGAAATGCAAGTCTATTTAACTGAATTGATCTGTATCAGATAAAAAGATTCCTGCAAGAGAAGTTAGGGGTTGGTTATTGAGAACAGCCTGTCACTCTGAATTCCCACCTTTTCTAAGAAATAAGAAGCATAATAGCTCACTGCTGTTTGTACCAATAGAAGACTAGATCTTTTTAAAGCTGCAGTTGTCCCTGGGGCATAGTTATGTTTAAATTTAGACATTTAAGGAGAATGTTCTGATTAAAGTTTCAAAGAGTCAAAATATCCTAATTCTGCACAAGCATCCTTTTTCATGAGGAAAATTGCGGGAAGGAGCTTTGGCAGGGAGGAAAGGTTGGGTACAGAAAATTTTTGTGAGTGTGATTGACTGACCTGCCCTCAGCAGACAGAAGGTTCTGCCTGAATGCTGGTTGGAGTTTTTCTAGAGCTATGAATAAATTAAAAGATTGATTAGATAATCTCAGTACAAACTTTAATAATAATTGCTGTAAACTTACAGAATGAATCTGAAACATGACTTATCCTATCTTACCTTGCAATCCAGGTTATCAGCTGCACTAACTATTGCCAGTTCATGCTTACTCTTTAAAATCTGTTACCAGAGAGCTAGTGAAGCAAAGTGAAGGGCAGAGCTTACTCTTGTGTGTACTTGGCGAAACCCATGTTTTTTTAACTTGCTTTCGGCGGTGCTTACTTGAACTACTACACACCTCAGGCCTTAATGCAAACAGCAGCTGAGTCGTGGGCCCTGGTCCTGTGTGCAGGGGGTTTGGAGTGTCACAGTGTTCCTCTCACCTGCAACAAAGCAGGAAGAGGTTCATAGCATAGTTTGGGTGGGAAGGGACCTTAAAGATCACCTAGTCCAACCCCCCCTGCCCCGGGCAGGGCCCCCTTCCCCCAGCCCAGGGTGCTCCCAGCCCCGTCCAACCTGGCCTTGAACCCTTCCAGGGAGGGGGCAGCCACAGCTGCTCTGGGCAACCTGTGCCAGTGCCTCACCACCTGCACAGGGAGGAATTTCTTCCTTATATCTAATCTAAATCTTCCCTCCTTCAGTTAAAAGTGCTACCTCTCATCCTAATCCTATACCTCCTATTAAAAAGTCCCTCCCCACCTCTCCTTTAGCCTCCTTAAGCACTGGAAGGCTGCTCTAAGGTCTCCCTGCAGCCTTTTTTTTTTCCTCAAGGTTGAACCCCCCCAACTCTCTCAGCCTGGCCTTAGCGGAGAGGTGCTCCAGCCCCCTGAGCATCTCTGTGCTCTCCTCTGGTCCCGCTCGAGCAGGTCTGTGTCCTGGTGTTGGGGGCCCCAGAACTGGACACAGCACTGCAGGGGAGGGTCTCAGGAGGGTTGAGCAGAGAGGCATTCCAAGTCACCAATAAATCTCTGGAACAAAATCAGGCTTTACCTCTGAGGTTCAAGGACTCAATACAACTGTTAAGGTAGAAGGAATTCCTTGACTGGTGTGGCTTTTAATGGGGTGATGTTCGAGGGATACAGGCTCATCTGGCTTCATTTAATGGAGCTCACATCCATTTCCTCTGACAGATTCCATACAGCTGGTAGTTGGAGCCTGGTGAAATGTTATGTTTAAGGAGTTGACCAAGCAGCCATGACAACAGAGTTACACTTGGCCTAAAAGCATGGCTGGAGTGAGGAAAACAACCATCAGAGTGGAATTTTTATCTTCAAATACTTAGAAGTTTATAACAATGTAAATCTTACATTTAGTTTTCATTTATGTTAGCTGTGAAATTGCCTGAAGGATCTGATGCGTGGTGTATTCCCAGAATATTATCTAAGAAGCTTAAGTTTGTGAAGGAAAAAGAGATTGGTTTGTTAATGTGAAGGGTGAAGAGTTTCTAGATTTTCTTCTGAGAGATGTTTTTGGTAGGATAAAGTGAAACTTGAGAAATGAAGGGTGAGTTGGCACAAACATTTCAGTTAAAATACAGGTTAAGGCTTGATTGCATTTCTATGGTGATTTTGTTTACCCCTTTAAGGAATGATTGCATATTCTTTTAGCCTTCATAGATAGTTGGAACTTTAATCACTTTGGAGTGTAGAATACTGGGTGACTGACTCTTCTTAGAAAAGAATCTTGCAGAGTTGAAATAAATATTCAAATTAATATTAAATTACACCAAAATCAGAGTTCACTGTGGTAGTGGCTTGCTTTGTTTCTGCCGTTAGTCAGGGCTAGTACTGCCATCTGCATCAGCTCAGGGATCCATGGGATGATTAGAGAAGGTGACATCATACAAATACAAATCTGCAGAATCGGTTCACAGCTGCTCCTTTAGAAACCAGTTGCTCTCTGCAGCAAAGTAATAAACAAGGCACCAAGCATGCGTGTTGGGCCATCTCTGCATTCCTCCTGAGCCAGATGCATAAAGCAGGGGAAGTACTTAAGGCCTTATTTTTTTTGTATACACACACATACATGTATAATTTGTGTATTATATATACCCGCATTTATTTGTATTCCTTTTGCTCCTCAGACAAATGCCATTCAGTTAATTATTTTAAGCCTACATTGCTTGCTGAGTTAACATTTCAGATTCTGATTAATAGTAGAAGCATTAATACTAATCCCACTTCCCAGTATTGACACAGCAAAACAACAGGAACTGTACGCGGGTGCAGCTGACATTTTAACTTTAAATGTTCTCAGAACACGTAGTGCAGTGAGCCAATCTGAGAAGTGTAGGACTGTTTTGATTTCATACAAAGCAAACTGTTTTAAAGTAGAGCCCTAGCCAGACTTGGGGAGGAAGAGCCAAGCATGACTTAAGTCGTGAGAGCTGGGGTAGGCGTACTGCACTCCTTTCAGGAGGACGCAGATATCTCTGATTACTCACTAGATCTAATATATCGGCTTAATTTCCTGCTTTTCCAGGGTGACCTGCACTTTCCCATAGTTTTCCATCTATAGAATTCATGTTGTGACAGTACCTACTCAATTAACTTTCAAGACCGTGAAGTATTCAGATATGCTGAAAGACCATTCACAAATGTACTGTCTGTGCATACTTACCACAAAGCTGCTGAGAGTTCCATATGGGTTTCTCAGACACTAATTTGCTAGATACTTTCACACTTGCACAGAAAGTAATTCTTCAGTTGCTGAAACAGCAGAACTAAAATTCAATATGGAAAAAACAGTAAATGTAACAAAAAAGAAATGAATAAAAGCCAAAATATGAAGGGAACTGGTAGATGGATACCAACTGTATGCAAGCCTGGTCCTGGGAAATCCCCCTTTAAGTTTTAGAGAGGGATCAGGGCTCAATTGGGATCCTACCCAATTGTTGTTGGGGGGGAAGGAGGGGGGTAAGTTATGTCTAAAATTGGAAACTAATTCAACTAATAACAAAGATAATGCCTGAGCTACTGCTTTGCTGGGTGGGATTCCTCTTACTTAGATTTAACTATCCAAATGATGAGTGTCTAGACATCTATACACTCCTTAGGCAACAGACAAACGGGTTCCTCAGAAGGTGATTCATTCCACCTACCTTAGATAATTATCCTAGGGTAGGATGATTTGCCCTCTGGGGATGCCAAGTTGCGGGCCTCCATGGGCCGCATAAGGTGTCTAGACTGCTAATTTTTAGATGTCTGAAGATAAATTAAATTAAATCACCTGGCCATATAACACTGAAATAAAATTTGCCATTACTCTGTATTACCACATGATTGCACCGTACAAGAGTTGTGTGCTGTGCCAGTGCTCTGCCATGAATAGGCACATCCACGTCCCGACACCTGCTGAAGGCACAGCACAACTGTCCCTGAAGAGCTTTAGCATCAGTAGGGGCCCGTTAGTCTTGATGAGCCAAGTCCTTAACTGTTGTGTTTTGATTGGGCAAATCGAGAGGATAATGGGGAAGAAAATACTTTGAAACACAGTTTCAGACTGTATTGGTGGAACCAGCTGAAACTCCTATTTCTAGCAGTGTTCTAGAAATACAAATGTCTGTACTTCTGGAATTGCTAGAAGTTCATGTTTGAATTATTCCCTTTGGCTAATATACAGAAGTTATCATTTGCTTTAAAGTATGTGCCCTGGAAAAGCTAAGCCCCCAGCTGGAGACTAGCTGGGAACACTGAAACTTTCATACCTTGGCAATCTCTACCAATTTTCAATTACTTTAATTATTAAAAATGTAAACTTCATTTAAACAGAAAATAAGGTGATCTTCAACTTGTAGTCACTGAATCTTGTCTTGCTTGTGTTGGCAGAGGAAAATTTAAGAATCTGATTGATCCAACCCAAAATTTCTCTTTTTTTTTCTGATCGCAGTCTTAGATTGACTCATCTTTGGGAAAGAAACTTAGAACTCAACATGGGAATTTTCTCTATACGGCATTTACAGTAACCTATTTGATTAGAATTTTAAATTCAGATGTGTGACATATAAGAAAAATGAGATGTGATGCAGGAAATGTATACATCTACATGGGAAAAACAAAAACAGCAATACACAAAATAGTATCTTTGAAAATCTCTAAAATTAGTATCTTTAAATACCTCACTTCAAATGCTCATTCTATTGGATTGGTAATAAGTATATATAGAGATTTTATCTTTTTGGTTTTCTTACTTGATTTTTCTTCTGGAGTTGAAAATACTGTATTTCTGCAGCTCTAACCCACAGTCCTTCCCCTTCTCTGATTTGACATACTCCAGTAAGTGTCTCTGCCTTTCAGCCTCACCTGCCAGCTCTCCAGCTTTCTCTACTGCCTCTTCAGCTGCTGCAGCCCTGGGTCTCTGACACAGTTCTTTAAGTCCAAGAGGGACAATTACTATGAAATTCAGAATTGCCATAATGGAAAATAAACCCATGCATACTTCTCCATGCATCGCCCTCTATAGGTGCTATCTTTATCCACTCTCATTTTCAATCCCAACAATTCAAAAATACGAGATGGGTCCGTCAAAACCTAAATTTAGAAGGTTTGAATTAGAAATACTGACACATAGTAAAGACTGGCTTGTTTTTATTTGCTTTTCCAGTTTTGCACCTCTGGGGACCCTCACTTCAGACATTCAAACTTGACACTGCAATCACAAGGGCTAAATACATTTAAAACCAAATCCCAAACCAAAGAAAACCCCAGAGAATGTTAGTAGTTTTTATTATTCTTGCAGATGGGTTTTAGAGAAAGCACCAGGTAAAACAACAATCAGGATCGAACAAGCTAGCACTACTGAATGCAGAAGCGTGATGCTTTGTTTCTCAGGTACAACTGTTTTAATTGAAAGTAATTCTTGTGAAGTAGACAGTAGGTAAAGAAGTCTTCTAATCTGACAAAAATCACTAGATCTATATCAATACCTTTTAATTAAGAATCTTACTTTTCTTTATATTTAGAATTGTTCTCCCTTGGATTCAGCTGGATTTTTATCTTACTCATGTTCTACCTGGCCGTTCTCAGATAACTTTTTTCATGGTTATTCTGTACAACTCCAACTTGCTTTCAAAATAATTATTTTCCATTTGACATTAATCATGGCTGTAATGCCTTTGACTAAAGTGACAAAAGCATTTCCTTCTACATTTCTAAGCTTCACAGGTTAATGAAGTTATATAGTAGCAATTTAGTTGTCAAATTCCTGTTACCGACTGCTTTTGTTAAAAAAATAAAAATCACCAAGTAACAGGTTTCTAAACGTAATTCCCAAGAATAAGTGTGGATTTACCGTATTTACTACCAGGGGCTGCAGCAGCCTCTGCCTCTCAAGGCAGCACATACACCAGTTCATATGAAAGGGAGGACGCTTAACCAGTGTATGTCTTCCTCTAACCTCCTCCTGCTCTTGCCCTCTCAAAAGAAAAAGTTCAGTTGAATCGTGCTCACAGCATTTATTTTTTTGGTTGGTTTTGGTTTTTGTTCACACATACATTCTCTGAGCTACTTAGAGCATATACAATAAAGTATATTCCATGAGTTGTCATCCCCATCAGACAGATGCAAATCTGAAGAATTTCTACTTTCAGAGAAAGAAATCTGTTGGCTATGGAATAACCAGCCTTGCTGTATCTTTCCTCCTATACCCCCAAAATTACAGCACTGACTCATTTTAATCGTATCAGATTTACTAATTCTTAAAAAGAGATGATAAAAATGCATTCTCTTAACTATTACTAGAAGGGATATCTGCATTTGTAGCAGAGAGCTGACCAGTGAGTTCAGAGCAAAGACTACAGTTGGGCATTAAACGGAATCAAATGGAAGGCAGGGGGAAGGATATTAAATACTAGGGTAAGCCCATAAACCTAGGGAGATACAGTCGCTAGCCTGCATCTAAGGCAGTTCTGATTCACTGATTATGGTATCATCTGTGAACTACAGGTTTGTCTAACGAAGCTTCTCCAAATAATCCACATACAGAATTTATGTCAGCATCTAAAGTAAAGTATTCTTGATGTGAACTCCACACCTTTCTGTTCACGTCTAAGTTTTATTCTTTTAAACTGTCTGTCTCAAGCATAGCTTTAAAAGAGAGGCAGCCTCTTTTTTCTCCTGACATTGCCGATCCTAGTTGTGAGATTCTGCCCAGGATTTCTCTGCCCCGCTAGAGCCAGAGATAGCTTCAGTAAGCATGAAGCACAGATGTACTTTCTGCCAGGAAGAACATAGCTTTGGCCTCAGCTGCCACAGATCCAAGGGACAAGATGAACATTTCTATAGCCCAGCCTCAAGCAGAACTCAAATACTGAAGAAGTTTTCTAGACAGCTGTTTAGTTGGGTAGCTGCTTCAAGAAATTTGGAAAGAAACATCTAAGCTGAAACATGTCTGTCCTGTCCCCTGCTGTCAGGGACCGAGGGTTGCTCAGGTGTGAGTAACTGGAACCCTTTGTACTAGCTCCCTCTGAAGCGATTTGCCAAAACGAGAGAAACTGGAACCTTACAAGCCTGAGTTACCCCAGGCACCAGACAAGTCTTAGGATGCTTCAGGCACCAGTAAAGTATTTTCTCTTTTCCCTGCGCACCTGAAAAGCTAACTACAGCATGGTAATTCTGTTAGAGTAAATTCACTGTCAGTCTTTCAGTGATTTACAAGCCCCCCGCTTACACTCATCTGGACTGTGGGAGGCTGTTTGGTTTGTGTTTTTCTGGGGACTTTTATCTGTTTTGTTTTTTTAAAAAAATCATCATGGGAAGTTTCCACAAACAAAGTAAGCACATGTGATTGTTTGGCAACCTCAGTGATTGTGCAACTCTAACCCCAGCCCATGCTGAAGCTTTCCAGAAGATATTGATTAATTGCCTAGAAAAAGTACTCTCTAAAAGCAAAGCAACTCTGTAGCAGTTTACTTACCACAGGAAGTGAATCAAAGCATGCCTGGCCCAAACCCCAGCTCTTTGACGTGGAGATCAACAATGAAGATTGGCTTGTAGGAATAAAGGTTTAATTCTGTAAGACAATTCTGGCCCTGATTTGTTTGCAAGTCATACTCTTGGACAGAACTTCAACCTTTCTAATAGTAAAATTATGTGTTTATATTCCCTTTTTAAATTAAACCATTTAAAACCAAAACCAGATCATTTTCTCTAACCTTTGCCCATGAAGGAGGAGAAAGAGGTTGGACAAGTTTGAGATAGTATCCTATTATTAATCAAGCAACAATGCTTGCCATTTTATAATCAAGTAAGATACAATTTATGCTCCAAGGACTTTGTAGATTAGACAGAGGGTCTGACATGAATTACAGGAGACACTGTTTTCCTATTGTGAGTTAAAGGCTAAAATAAAGGGTAAGCCATTTTAGAATTTGAGTGAAAAAACATTGGCCCAATCTCTATTATTCATATTTGTAAAGTGATGTTTTTTGCCACAGTAATAGTTATATATGCATTCACTAGTCTAATTAAATACAAGAAAATAAAATGGTTATAAACAATAGTTTAGCAAAATATGTTATTGTGTTATTATTAAAAACAACCACCATAAAAGCTAAAGAAATAAGCACGATTTTAAGATAGTGGCTGGAGATCTGAACAAGCTTGGGTTCCAGCATTTTAGGTACTGCACAATTCAATAGGAAATCATCCTGGCCCAAAGCAGCTTAAATCCTATTCAGGTCACACAAATTGTGGAAGGGGTAAAGGGACAGAGTGATTGTTCCTGCACACAGGTGTTAGTAAGAACATGCTATGTGAAATTCAGGTCTCCTGATACACAATCTGTAGTCCACCTCCTTGCTCATCTTGTCCATTATGCTTGCTTTCACATTTCTTAAAAGTAACAAGGACAAAAATGTATGAAAACAGTAAGAAACACTATATCACTTCTGCCACAATGAAGAAACAGGACATTCTGCAGAAGTAAATTGATGGTAACTGCTAATGTTTGTAGGCAATTTAGACCAAGACAGTGAGCAATTTAAAATTGGCAATTCTTTTACTGAAAATCATTTCTATGTAAATACTGTAGATATTACCGACGTTTTCCTTATGTATGAGCTTGCACTGAAGCCAGCTGCTGTGAGCACGGGGTTCTTCCTGGATCACAGCAGTTTGAACTGGACAAATCAGCTTAGATCCATGACGTAGAAATACCATGGCAGTTGAGAGAGGTGGTCAAGGCATGTTTTTCTTTGTGTGGTCCTTTCAGATTTAACTTTCTACTAGGAATGCACGTAACTCCACTGATAATGCTGCTGCTTATATAAGAAAGTACCCCTGTAACTGCAACCACGGAATGCTGTTCTTACGTGTGAATGACTTTGGCTCTAGATGATGTATTTTTTCTATTTTTTTTATGTATATTTTGCTGGATTTTACTGTTACAACTTCTCTGGTTTCACAGTTGGATAGATGAATACTTCTTGCATATGCACTGAAAACAACATCCGTTCCCCTGCACTGTGTAAAGACAATGGAAACCAAAAGACTCATGGGCAAAGTGAGTGTCTCTTTGGGCATTAATCGAGTGCAGAGCAAAACACAGCCAAAATAGAAGATCCAAGTTATAAATACGGAGACCCAAGTAATTAAGTAGCAAAACCACAAATAACATCTATTTTAAGCACTAATCTGACACCTCATTTTGTTTTGTTTCTTTCCTTCCCCGTCCCTTCCAGTAATACCATTTTGTTTATCAGGCAACACCTAATTAGCTCAGATCCATAACTCAGCTAATGCCTGTAAGGCTCTTTTGCCTTGCACAAGCCGTGACCAGCCTACAGATTGAACTAAGAAACTAGGACTGCTCCAGGAGAGATTTACAAGTTAAGAATCCTGCAACTATACATTAATTCCCCTGGTGCCACAACCATAAAACAACTGAGATGCATGAAGATGAGAAGGACTAGTTATAAGAATACTGGGCAGAAAACACCTTGCATCCACGTACACATCTAGCAAAATGCTTTTTACTAACCAGCATAGTCTTCATCTGCAAGGAGCACTTAATAGAAACTCAGCTAACTGATAATAATCTAAAAGAGGTAAGATACCACCAGAAGTGGTAGCTCTGACATTGAGACAAAAATTCCAGCTTCGTGTAGCTCATCAGGAGAACGAACAAGTTGAATACCTCTGTTAGGACATCAAAGGCAGACAAACATGCCCCAGAAGCAGTCTGTACCCACCATTAAGTGCAAGTATTTTTAACTAGTATGTCCTTGCTGAAATTCAGAAATAATTACACTGGATGTTAAAAATGTACGTCCCTGTAAAGTCAAGACCATTTTGACTAAAATCACCAACTTGAATTTGTGCATGAAAATGCTTAGTTTCTGCAAGCCTAAGTGAGACAT